TGACATCTTCAACAGGCCATCAGGGCGAGCACATGTTCGCCGGTGTCTTCAGAGCAACACGTCTAATACCAAGTGTGTTTATAACAATATAACTTCTCTGACATGTAAACTGCACGGGAGATAAATGACTCCTGTAATTAAGATATGTTGAAATCACTTTTGGTATACGCCATGTCATTGTAAACAGAGGGCCTTCTTCTGTAGCGCTTTCCTTCAACCCCTTACTACCATGTATACCATTGTCATGAGGGTGGTATGAGCTCGAGCTAAGCCCTGCTTGTATTGTATATAGAAGTAATAGTTTCCTCCTAAGATCTTGTGTAAATATGATATAATTGGTCGAGTATGAGTGTCTTTAAAGTGCAATCAGCTTAATGAATAACAGGCTTCTGTTGGGAGCAGCAGAGGAGATGAGTAATGCTGTTGGGCTGAAAAAGAATAGATTATTGAGTTTTTGTCATGGGAATTTGTCAGTACATCAAAGCCTAGACACAATGCAGGAAAGCGGTAATTTATGTTTATTGCGTATTGTGCCAAAGAGGAAAAAAAATCAACTATAGATTGGAATTGTTGTACTTGGCCACAAGTAAGTACCTTGTTATTGCCAAGTGTGACAAATTTGGAGCATTGTCGCAGCTTTGTTGTCTTGGATATTTTGTTGTTTTTCTGACCGTGTTTGACTCCTGTTGAAAAAGCTCCAGTCATCAAAAATCACTTAAGTAGCAGCGGTATAAAAATCCCTGAGTGACTGGGTCTTATATTCTGCTGACTCGCCATGTTCCACGACATCATTTTCCCCTCTCACTCCGAGGGCTGCTCAGCATACTAATTCAGAGCCTTAATTACTATAATTGGTAGATGCAAATTAACAGCAATTGGACTTGACTGGGGTCATAAATCCACAGCTCAGAACTTACAGAATTTCTGGCAATTCAGAGCGGACCACCGTAGGCAGGGGTGCTTAACTTACTAAGTAATTGCAAGTTTCATGAATCATAATGCTTATGAATTCCCCCTCGGCACACACACGGGCCCAGTGGGACTCCGCTTTAAGCCACTGGGAGTCATAGCAAGCAGATTGAGAAGCCACTGTGCAGCTTTGGCCTCTCCACAACAGAAATACCATAGAGGAGCTGCTGGGTGCTAATGGGGTTTGGCTAATAACATTTGGAGCCACAGAGAGAGAATATCAAAACCTCAACTGAACTGAACTGCACACTATTTTTTAGAATTTATGGATGAGTGATTCTATTTATGCTGGTCTCACGAAAAACTCTTTCCCTCTTAGATGTTACTTTTGCGTTTGAACATTTGAATGAATGGCGGAGATCTCACCACAAAATTCAATGACACAGCAAGACATGCACCGTTAGCGTTTCACGTAACATGTGTTCTTTCAGTTCAAATATACAGTAGTCAGGGTCTGCTCAAAACAAAGAACATGGAACACTCATGAAATTTTAGCACATCTGTGTACAAACCTAATTTAGCTTGACTTGGCCGAATTAAGCCTGAGATCCCAATGAAATTTCTACTCAGTATGTATGTTCTACCAAGGGAGCAGAAGCAGAGGGCCTCATCTCTCTTAAACACACACTTACAGGCACACGCATTTACATACACTCCTGCCGCTGTTGAACGTGTAAGCAGACATGTATTGCATGTGATTGTTGGGGAAATGGAGTGAAAAACAGGTCTGGGGTTGTGGGTTCAGGTTGCGGGTTTCAGAGTGACGAGATCCAGAAGCCAACGGCGCTTGGTATTACCCTGGTGCTTCCTGCCCCACCGGTTGGGGATGGGGGGGGGGTAGGATGGAGCTTGAGAAAGGAAGGTAGGGAGGACATTTCAAGCCAAGGGCCAGGATACACTCTGCCCCATAGGATCCCCTCGACAAGAGGCTGTAACACAGCCCACTGCTCCCACACTCCTACCATCGGGCCCTGAGCCTCAACCAGATCCCACTGTGGTTTGTTTTACAACCTTGAACCACAGTTAGCCTTCAGAACCTTAGCATGGTAATCAGGCTCTCCCAAGATTCCACTTTCGCTCTTTTTCAACAAGCCCTTTTACTTATTTACCCATTGGCTCTGTTCAATATGATTCTGTGTCTGTGGAACGCTCTTTGAATGTATTTCACTTTATTTTTCTTACAATTCATTCTCTCCTATCGTGCAAGTTCTATATTCCAAGTCTGGATGTTATTTCAAAGTTGTGTGCAGCAGCGGAGTAAATCCTTCGCTGGTTACACCTAATGCCTCCATGGCATGTGGCAGCAGTGTGTTTCTGCATGAGCTCATTTGCTGTTTATCAGTATATACATGTGCATTAGCTAATGTGTGTGTTAACTGGTGTGTTATGCATGTGCCCAGAAGGTTCCTCCTTGAATCCTATTACCACTTTAGCACACAATCCCAAATCTGCTACATGTTAAGCACTCAGTCCTCCCACACGTCTACTTAATAACACAAATCATGATTGATGCCCTGCACAGCACATGCATAGACCCAAAGAATGCTAAACAGAGGAACATAACTTGCAATTAATTGTCCATTTGTAAATTTGTCTGCGTATCTTCTGTTCAAAGGAATTTGGAACATCATTATTTTTTTCTCAGTGATGAAGTACCAGTGAATCGCTCCTTCCAAGTCCTGCGTTCTAGATACATAACACTGCCATGCCTTCACTATTTTGTCTGCTGTTTCCCACTGGAGGGCTTGAATTGGATGGAGGCTTTGACTTTGAGCCATAATAATGTTGGACGGGAGCCCTCATATTTCAGCTCTGATGCGAAATCGGCCCAGTGGCTTTTCGGACTCAAATTGGGTTTAAATTGTGTCAGAAGAGGGAGAAATGTTTTTTAAAATAATAGCCATGAATGCCATGAAACAGAGCGTTCTTACTGCAGAGCTTTTGATCCGTTTTTATAAATAGCAGAATTTTGTCGTAAAAAATAATGTTTCTGTGGTCTTTTCCTGCAATTAAAATAAGGTTGGCTCAGGAACAAGGGCAAAACTAAGTACTTGTGTTTGAGAAGAATTTCTCTCCCGCTCTCTCTCCCCCCTCTCTCCCTTCCCTCCCTCCTTGCTTTCCTCATCTGTGAAAGCATGTCATTTATGACTTGTTATTTTCATTTTTGCTCCATATTTTCCACATGGTAGTGGCAGGCAGATGTCTGATAATGGCATGTGAGACCCAGCAGAAGGGTGTGTTCCACCTGCCTCGCTCTGTATGTTTTTAGTTCGTCCGTGTATATGGTGGGCAGAGCGAGTGCAGTTCTTTCCCAAGGCATTCTCTGGTTCCTCTTGGCCAAGCAGTGTGGTCTTCACATGACCAATCAAATATGTCAAACCGCCAGTGTTTTCCCCCCACATGTACAACAAGAAAATCTGGCTTCAATTATTATTGCACCCCAAGGGGAACTTCCAAAATTCCTCCCCTCCTCATTTGTCAGAAATGAAGCTCTCTCGTTTCCTGCGATTGGCTGAAATATGTCTTTTGATATTAAATCACACCGGTTTCCACTGGCTGCATGACCAAGACAAATGTTTATCATATTTATTTATGTCATTGGAGATGACCCTGCAGCTCAGCAATGCAGAGACTTGGCTGCAGACTCCCATGTAATGTTGATTGTGAGTAAGAGAGTCTCCTAAATAAGCTGAAGTTAAGAGATAATTTGGAAAGCATATGAGGTAACTGTGGTTTGTTTAATGTGAAAAATACCGTTTAGGGTAGGGGAGGGTGATGGAGGTACTGTTACAAAAGCCCTAATGAATCTAGACTGACACATCCCACCCAAATCTTACAGGGCTCTTGGTTTGATTTATATTATACTCTGTTGATAAATGTGGTTCCAAATGTTGATTAAGGATCTGTTTCACTTGTTTGTATGTCAACAAATCCAGCTAAATCCAGTTATACACCTCTGATCTCCCATTGCCATTGTTTTTGTACTTGGTGCTTATTGTCATAACATCACGCTCTGGTAGAGGCCTTTCCAGTGTGGCTAAGGGAGAGAAACGCTATATGAAAATTGCCATTGACGTTGCCGAAACAAATAAAACTACTCATGCTGCCGCTACATCTGTAGCCATTTTAAGCCCTTATTTATACCATTTAAGCTCTCATTTGAATTCACCAGCACAAATAAACATATCATAACGAACCGAAAGCCCTGATGTCATATGCAGATGTTGAATTTTGATTATTCCTTTTGCCTCGTGAATTCGTCAGGATCTTGTCTCTCAAAGGCAAAATAGATGACATCACTTTTTCTTGGCGCTGATGGGACAGTGTTTGCTCACTTGACTGTAGCAGTTCAGCTACAGAGACAGGCACCGCTGCCCACTCCTGACATATCTCTACATCTCTTCTACCATATTACAGTTTGTGTATACTGTTTCTGGAGACAGAAATAGAAAAAGAAAGGCTGTAAGAGCCCCAGTCTCCAGACTACTGTGCCGTCCAGCCAGGGGTTTAAGCAATGTTTACTGCCAATGATAAGCTGGCATAAATCAGAACTTTATAAAAGGCAAATGATTTCACCTGAGGCCTGTGTGGTTATTTATCTGAGGCCTGGCTGTACAAGTACCAGCGGTTTTGATTTGCTCATAAATCATCCTGTAAGAAATTTGTGCTACTAAACCACTGAGTAGGCAGAGAAGTCAGTAGTGGTTAGGGCCTGCTGCCAGAACCTCTTTACTGGTTCAGTAAAACAGACTACCTGGTCTACTCCTGGAGTCATGTACTTCATTGTAATTGACTATATAAAGTACAGCCTGACTCAATGTGACCCCCACAACAATAAATAAAACCTATTCATGTTTTATACTTTTAGTTGGTCTTGGACACCTGCTTGTTGGATAAGACTTGCACAATACACCCTGCAATATGTTGTCGACCTGATACACAGCCTAGCCTGGGCTTCCTAGAATTATAAGTGCACTATATGCTTGATAAAGTGATTCGATCAAAAAGCGTTTTCACTCTCTTCCCTCTAGACGTGCACTGAACCTTGGCATCCTGCGTGACCCGGGTTCAGAGGTGGAGGACCGTCAGTATCAGATCGATCTCCAGTCCATCAACATCGGAACAGCTCAGTGGGAGCAACTCAAGCCAGAGAAAGAGGGAATCAAAGGAGGTGTGTCAGCGGAGAGTGAGAGGAGCTCCCAGAACCCGGCCCTGGAGTGGAACATGGCCAGCAGGTCAGGAGATACTTCAATATTTGCATGTTAAGAGTAAGGGGAAGCACTGAAGCTATACATAGATGTTATTGACATAAACATGAAATTATTGGCACAAAAGAAATCTTGGTGCATCAAAAATAGTAAAATAGTAAACATAGTGTATCAACAGCCGTTTCCTATCAGGCTTTAAAAAAAATTCTGTCTGTAATATCTGGTGAAATCATTGATAACCACAAGCAAAAGAACAAAACACTGACATATATCCCTCTCCAGACAAGTCAAACCAGGACTAAAACGTTTGTAATTACAGAAACAACATTTGTCTGGTAGTCATTGTTTGCTGACCTGTTTCCCATAAGAATTTAATCATAAAAATGCTCAATATGTTTGATTTTTAGCCTGTCTGCCTGCTAGTCATGACAAACTCATATATTATTGGATAATGTTTGCATCATTTTAGCTTTTTCCTTATTATCAGTAAGTCAAATAAAAAGTATTAACCAAGAATAATTCTTTATTAGTAATACATGATCTGTATAATCAAAGCCTGATATACTGACCTTAAGCCTCTTTGTCACTTAATTATTAGAAATACATAAGAGCCATGCTGTTGCATTTGGATGAATCCCTTACAATGACCACTGGAAGCATAATTCGCATTCGTTACACCCCTATTCAGGTGCTGTGTGTGCGATGTACTGTGAATGTCCCAAAATGTATCTCATCAGTCTTGATGTGGGAGCAGCATGTAGTTATTGAGTTAGCTCCCTATCATGGAGCCTCTCCGTGCACAGTCATAATTACAAACCCTGTCATTTTTTATAGACTCGGGAGCTAAAACAAGCACGAGTGTAACAGCCTGTTTGGCCCCATGTCCTTTTTTTTCCACTCATGTTTTGAGAGGGAACAGGCCCAAAAATCACAGAATCACAGGCATAGAGTCCAGATTTGTTCCCCGTCAACTAAAAATAAGCCTTGTTGAAGAATGCAGCACAGAGTCAACACGGGCCTGATTGAGACTGAGCGCTCTCAGGTCAGCAGGGCTTAGAGTGAAGCGGACTGAGATACACACACCTTTCACACACAGACACACTCAAGCACACTCACACAAACACACTTGTACATACTCATCATGAACACTGATATTTTCTTTACTGTATGTCATATATGTCTGTGATACTGATGCTGAACCCTCAGGCCTTAGACCTGCCGTAAGACCCATTATTGTAACAACCAACGTGTCGTATGTTATCCCCACTCTCTCTCTCTCGCCCCTCATTTCCTGTCAGCTCCCTGCTGCATACTGTCTAATTAAGGCAAAAATACTTTAGTACTTTAGTAGTAGAAGTTAGTTGATTTACCTCTTCCAGGTTGAGCCAGCCAATACATATTTTGCTGGCAGAATAAGGCTAATGTAAGGTTAAAGTTGAGGTGCTTTTAAAATAAAACATCAAACTTGTCTAATACATGGGGCTAGCATCAGTATAAAAGAATAGCAAAAGCAGTCATGCTGTCATTTTGATGCTGTCAGCCAGAGTGACTCAGAATGAGCAAACAAGTAGAGCTTTAGTTTTTGACATTTCAACAAGACAAAGGAGTGGACCTGTGGGATGGTATCTCTAACCACTAGACCACCCTGATTTCATTTTACTCTCCTTCTGTCTCCCCAGTAGTTTTGACTATTCATCCCCAAATCCTCCTCTGTCTCGACCTTCTCTAACCCTGGCAGCCAGGGTCTGTTTTAAAACAGCCCTTTTAAGTAGCGGACTTGGACCTACGTTAGAGTCTGACAAGCTCATATGAGCAAGGGGCTACTGAGCCTCAATCCGCTCACATTTTTTCTTTTTTACTCTCAATTTGTCTCTCTGTCGGTGAAAACGGGGCTGCTCAGGCCTAGAGCCAAGGCCAGATTGTCTGACAGGGCAATGAGGTGATATTTTGGGCTCACACTTTGAGCTCCAGAAGATACTGAATGCCTTTTGAGTAGACTCAACTTTCTTTAGACATACTATAGCTGCAGGTCTTGATTTCTATTCAGAACTTGATCATAGGATGACCTAACATGTAGCTTAAGAGTTATGTCTGTACTCAAAGGATTGACACTCTTGTATTATACTGTAACATACAACTGTAAGGTGACTTAAGTTTGACAGTGACTTGCTGCCAATGCAGAGAGCTGTAGCGATCAATCAACTAATAATAGAATGTTTTAGCATCATCTCTTCTCATTTTCATATCTTTGATAATTAAGAGTCACACCAGTAAGTAAGTAAGTAAGTATGCTTCTGTGTGCTCATGCTGACAAGGTCAAAGTTGCTGTCGTTGAGGTTTGTGAATTTCACCCTAACCCTCATGTTTAGTTTCCAAACAAATCATTCAGGGTGGCTGTGGTTGCCTCCTCGTTCCCCTTTCTCCTTGCCGTGGCAGAAGCAGCCCTGGAGGTTCTGTTGGAAAATGGGCTTTGCTGTACTGCTGTGTGCTGCACTGTATATCCCAACCTCAGCCACCGCCACGACCAAGTCATAACTGAACTTGTGATTTTAGAATGTTCCAACACACAGAGGAAAGGGGAGTCGAGTTCACAGCTTTACTTGTCTGCTGCAATCACCCGCAGGAGTACACCACCTCGCTTGTAACAAGTTTTGACACACACCACTTCCAAAGTTCACACCTTTCCCTCATTCCCTACATCGATACCCCCCTCTCCCTCTCCAGCTTTGGACTTGTGGCAGTTTTTCGGGTTCAATTCCAGTAGTTTGCGGATCTGCAGTGGCCTCAGTTGGCTTCCTGAGGTTTTGTGAGGAAATTCCAGCACCGTGGATCCACTGACAGGATCTGTCCTCGTCGCAGTGTGTAGTTGCCGGCTAGGAAAGACCCTGTGTCATGGAGCTGTGAACTCTCTGCTGCTCCCCTCCTGTCAGCCACCCAGCGCAGGCCCCTCTCTTTTTTGTCCATGCCACGGATATCTGCACTTACTGTTCACACTGCGTAGCTTTGTATGAAAACAAAGTCACTCTTTCCATCTTTTGTGCGTTACACCACACCCATTCAAAGGTACACACACACAGACACACAGAGTTCTCCAGACCAGTCAGGACCCCATATTACTGGTAAACTGAGCCTCACGCCTCCTAGCTTTGCTGGTGAAGGATAGCACCTGTCCCCTGCAACGAGACACTCATTGTTTCAATCCCTGTCCGAGGGGAGATTAGCCAACACCAATTGGCCTCACAGATCATTTCACCTCGAAATTAGGGCCTCCCTCAAACTCTCAACGCAAAGAAATGTGTCCGAAAATAATCCCTTAAGGGCACTGGTATTGCACAATTGTGTAGCAAAAGTGAATATGATATTGGTTCTGGTTAAGTACTGTACTGTAGGCCACCTAGAAACGCGGCCTTTTATAATCCTAGCCAACTATAAATATTGGAAGCCATACCACTTGATTGTTTTAATAGCAGCAGATGTGGCAATTAACACCACCTTATAAAGCCCACTTGTATATTTGTTTTACTGCTAACAAATGTTCCCACAAATATGACTTGATTGTGGGAATGAACATTAGTGAAATGGAGACAGTTGATGTGAGAAGGTCTCCATTTGATCTTGTGTATACAATTAGGGGGTGTTCCCAATTGAGACTTGTCAAATAACGCCTCACTCTGTCTCCGTAACCGTATTCAAGCTTCCAACTAAAATGTGTTAGACCAGAAATTTAAGAAAGCTCACTTATGGGAATATTTCACAGGTCTGGCCTGCGAGCGTCTCTTATTGTGAGTTCAGCTCTTCATGGTTTGAATTTAAAAAAGCCAGAGCGAGTTTGAAATGTGTGTCTGCCTGTCAGCTAAGAGCAAAACAAAAGCTCAGTTTTGAACATTTTGTGGTTTTGACTGTGTTGTGTTGACTTGCCATTCGTAGGCAGATGGGACAGTCTTACAAATATTTTACGACTGGTAACCATAACATGTTATTAGTAAATAAAAGCTGGGGAATGAACAAGTGGTCTCGTATGGTTGCTGTTTGTGTTGAATCACTTACCAGAACTATACACTTTTAACTCAAATATAATTCAGTGATTGACACTTTTTAAATGAAAATGTCCATTCATTTGAAAGGATATCTTTCTAACCGGAGAACCTTGATTATAATGATCTCCAAATGTTCAAATTCATCCCATAGTTAATCTCACTTTTTTTACATTAACAGCCGCATACAATTTAAGGAACCTGTCTGAAGAAGTGTCTGCTAACAGTTTGACCCTGTATGTATCTCTGTTCAGCATCAGGAGGCACCAAGAGAGGCGGGCCATCCTGACACCGATCCTGACTGACTTTTCAGTTCGGGTGACTGCTGCCCCAGCCATCATCTTCTGTAAGAATCTGTCCCCTGACTGCGGACAGGCAGAGGTCAGTATTGGCTTTTTATGATCTTTCTCTTAAAAGCATCAACATTTTCTACACAAGTGAATTTATCTGCAGAAAACTGCTTGAACAGTGGAAGTAAAAGTCACAAATGGCTGTGTTTATATTTTTAACATCGAAGTTTAATATCTGATCCTAAAGACAACAGGTCATGAGGATGTAAGGGTTTGCTTAAACAAGAATTTTCTAAGAAATTCACAGTCAGTCAGAGGTTACACATGTTTCTTCATCTCATCTACTTTATAGAGGTTTGTTCCTGCTTACGCGGACTTCTTGTCCCTTTGACCACGACCTGTTTACAACCATTGATTGTAACATCACTCACAATTCCGTTGTCGTATGTAGACATAATTGAATGTGAGATGTCAGAAGTATTACTTTTGCCTCTAACAGTACGTAACTACTCATTAGGAATCCTTCAGCCAGTCCGCCGTGTAATTGGAGGCTTTTGACTACAGAGTTTTTCTGCTGGTATACAGCTGATGTTTTCTGGCACGGCTCTCTTTGAGACTGCCTGGCCTCTTTGATG